GTCTACATAGATCTAGATCAGACAGATCGGTTCTAACAGGAACCTGTGGATCACCTGCTGTTCTCCTTGTCCTCGTCCTGGAAGACGGTGAAGGACCTGGGAGGATTCAGGAGACCAGGGGGAAGTCCTGCAGACCAGCAGAGGAGGAGGTGAGGAGCACTAGAACCAGGATTAAGGACTGTAATCTGGATTGGACCAGAACTCACCGTCACGTTCCTTCTCTGCTGTGAGGAACGCCGTCGTTCCGTTGAAGGGTTCCTCCAGCAGAGTGGGCGCCTGGAACATGTCCATGATGGCGTCTGCAGGCGGGACACGTCAAACATAAGGCCTGTGGGCTATAATCTGGGCGCACCGATGTGACCCTGGGTCTGACCCCTGACATTAGAGCTAAAGGAGAGGGGAGGAGAAGGGGAGGAGAAGGGGAGGAGAAGGGGAGGAGAAGGGGAGGAGAAGCCGACTCACCCAGAGCCTCTCGTGTGTTGACTGTGGGGGAGGGGAGAACCCTGGAGGGCGTGGCCTGGATATAGACCAGAGAACTGTTGGGGGTGACGTGAGACAGGTTGATGGAGCCTCCCTGAGACACTGAGGGAGACGGGGGGGGGAGGGGGAGAGGAGGAGGGAGGTGTTTAAGAAGGAGCAGAGGAGTTTTCAAAAGGAGAGGAAAAAAAGGAGGTTTTACTCACTGTTCTGTTTCTCCTCCACCTCCTCAGGAGGAGCTGAGGGTCTGGAACAGAGAAGGAGAAAACACTGAGTGGACACACACACACACACACACAGACAGAGGTGGCTCTGTTCCATTCCAGGGCTGGATTCTTTCCAGTGAATAATGAAGTACTGACTGGTGCGGACTGCTCCTCTGCTCCTCCTCCTCCTGCTCACTGCCGCTGGTTCTTCTGAGGAGACGCAGGTTCTCCTGCACAGATTCCACAGGCTGCTCAGCAGAGGGCGCCGCTGGTTCCAAACAGAGGCTGTTGTCAGCCAGGAGACAGAGAGGATGCTGGGATTCCTCCACAGCTGTGAGGAGACCGGGACCAGGAGCTGCTGCTCCTCCTCTGACAGCAGGAGGCCCAGGGAGCAACGTCAGGCCAGGGGAGCTCCTGCTGCTCAGACGGGTGGAGGGAGCAGGGTGGCTCAAAGGACCCTGGGTAAAACAGCTGCTGGACGAGGCGGCGGCTCCGACCACGGACGTCTGTGAGGGATCAACGACACGACATGGAGAACGGCATGGACAACCACATGGAGCACATCACGGAGAACGGCAGGGAGAACGACAGGGAGAACGACAGGGAGAACAACATGGAGAACGACATGTCGAACGACATGGAGAACGGCATGGACAACCACATGGAGCACATCACGGAGAACGGCAGGGAGAACGACAGGGAGAACGTCAGGAGAACGACAGGGAGAACAACATGGAGAACGACATGGCGAACGACATGTAGAACGACATGTAGAACGTCATGGAGAAGGACAGGAGAACGTCATGAAGAACGACATGGAGAACGTCGGGAGAACGACATGGAGATCGTCAGTAGAACGTCATGAAGAACGTCATGGAGAACGACATGTAGAACGTCATGGAGAACGACATGGCGAACGACATGTAGAACGCCATGGAGAACGTCATGGAGAACAACATGGAGAACAACATGGAGAACGACAGAAGAACGTCAGGAGAACAACATGGAGAACGACATGTCGAACGACATGGAGAACGACATGGCGAACGACATGTAGAACGTCATGGAGAACGACAGAAGAACGTCAGGAGAACAACATGGAGAACGACATGGCGAACGACATGTAGAACGTCATGGAGAACGACAGAAGAACGTCAGGAGAACGTCATGGAGAACGACAGAAGAACGTCAGGAGAACGTCATGGAGAACGACAGAAGAACGTCAGGAGAACAACATGGAGAACGACATGGAGGACGACACGGAGAACGACATGGAGAACGGCATGGACAACCACATGGAGCACATCACGGAGAACGGCAGGGAGAACGACATGGAGAACAGGTTCTTCACACACACACAGCTCTGACCCTGGCGGTGGATGAAGGTCGACCTCCGACTCCACAGCTCCTTATGCTCTGGTCCATCTCCTCCAACTTGGACTTTATGTTGTGGATGTTCTTCTTCTCCTTCTTCATCATCAGCATCATCTCCACTGGAAACAGGAGAACAGACAGTGGGACCACGACCCTTCACCTCCTCCTCCTCCTCCTCCTCCTGTGGTTCCAGTCCACTCACGGTCTTTGTGCAGCTTCTTCTCCCTCTCCCTGACTCCACAGAAATACTTCTGCGCCCGCACCTCCTCAAAGGAGAGCTCTCCTCCGTCACACAGCAGCTCATCCTTCAGGTACTCTGACACGGTGACCCCCCCCTGGGTGGAGCGGGCCACACCCACGTTCTCTGAGCGGGAAACTCTGTGGACAAGAGGAGCGTCACCACGGCAACAGCAGCAAAAAAAACAAAGATTTCCAAAATAAAAGCACAGGTTTCACTCACGTAACGAGGGTGTGAACAGACGAGGGCTCAGTCAGAAAGTCCTCAGACGCCTGGAACAGAGCAACGGAGGTTTGAGGGAGAGTCACACACACACACACACACACACACACACACACACAGACCTGGCACTGGGTGTCAGACTGCGCCCCCCTCTGTCGGCTCAGGTGTGTCGTCTGCAGACTCGTAACAATTTCTATAATCAATAAAAAAAAGTTTTGTTTAATTTTTATCTGAACATTTTTGTGATTTTTTTTCTTTCTTGTAAATCAAAGGTCGTGACCTGAAGATGGCGCCTGGTTCCTGCTCTGAAACTGTCTGCAGGTCAGATCAGTGACACAGTTACACACGTGAACAGCTTCATCCTGGGCAGCATGGAGGAGGGGGGGGGGGGTGCTGGAGGTTACCTGTACTGGTGCAGCAGCGCCTCCTGTGGCTGGGCCTGGTTCTCCACAGCTCTCTGATACAGAGCCTCAGCCTCCTGGTTCAGGCCTCTCTGTTCACAGTGCTGAGCCCAGGACACGAACAGAGCTGCTGACCTGGAGCCGACGCCTCTGCTGAAGAGGTGGCCGTACAAGGTCACGGGGTCAGAGTGGGAACTGGCCTGAGAGGGAGGGAGGGAGGGAGTCAGTGAGAAGAAACAAACCTGTGTGTGTCTGTGTGTGTGTGTTAGGCCACTCACACATCTGATGCAGTAGTTCACGTATCTGGGGTCATTTGCATAACGCTGCTGGTCCAAAAACCTCTGGACCAGTCTGTCCAACACCACTGAGATCCCATTGCTGCCCCCTGCTGGTAACTCCTGCTCCAAATACTGCACAAACCTGCAACGTTTGAGTTTGTTTTAAAGGACTGCGGTGTTATTGGTTGTTTTGTGCTGTGACGTCACTCTGTGTGGGTACTAAAGACCAGGACTCACTTGTCCCAGAGATCCAGAGGATCGTCTCCGGTATATGAACTCAACCTGCTCTCAAAACACCTGCAGACCACAAGACGGAAGTCATCAACTCGAACCGGAAAGTCACGTGACCCCAGGAGGTCATCGTTAAACAGCGCTAACCATTCCGGACAAAGTCAGTGCATTAAAAAAACAGTTAAATTTATAATTCCAACTTCCGTGAACAACAACACAATCTGAATTATAATTCCAACTTCCGTGAACAACAAACACAATCTGTTGTTTTATAAATAATAAGAGAATGTTGAAGGGTTAATTGATGAGAAAACATCGCTAATAACGGAGAAAAAAATATTCTAAACCGACCGTTTCGATAACGAGAGAAAACATTAAATAAAATCAGTTAAGTTATTTTAAAACACTGTTGCTACAAAACATTCTCAGGTCTAGTAATAATTACAATAATAATAATATAAACAGTCAAACCACAAACTATTATTTACTAAAAATAAACTTGTTAGCTGAAACCACAGTCGGTAGGGCTAACAACGTTAGCCGCCTGTGCTAACGGCTTCTTGGCATCTGACTTACTGTAAATACGTGTTGATATCCATCTTTTAAACAACGTAGTTGTGTCTTTAGTCCTTCCGCGAGAATAAACTACCACTGATACATTTATATGTTTAAATATATTTCCTTCTTCTTGTCGTTAACCAAGGAGTCAGTGACGTCTCCCAGCTAACGTTTGAAATTCGCGCTCGGCCAGTAACTCCGGAAAGGTCGTCCAGATCAGAAGACGTCATGTCCGGTGTAAAAATAAAAGCCCAGAACATTTTTGACTGTTTTTTACCCATCCTCAAATTTGATTTTTAAACAGCCCACATTTTTAAACAGTCACACAAAAATAACCAGACAACAGGCTACAATATTATTGATATTTTATCATTTTGTTTTTATTTATGTTGTCTGTTTCACGTACAATAAAGTTCAACGTTTTTTGGTTAGTTTTCGTCGTAGATATGGTACTTTCAGCAGTTGTGGTGGACATTACACAGATGATTCATATTTTGTTTCATATTTTAACGTTTTGTCTTGTTTCTGTGATGTTTTTATTTTTCTGATCCAGTTGTGTGAGATAAGGTGAGAGTTAAAGAAAGTGTCACATATTTTATTTATTCTGGATCATTCGTTCGTGACTAAATGTAGTGGTCCTTGGTCTATGAGTGGAGTTGTTGCGTCTTTTCAGCAGAGGGCGATGTCGTTCAGACTAACGATTCCATCCGCCGCGGCGCCTTTGTGAAACTAAAAAATAAAAAATCTTTTAAATAGAAGAAAACCGAATTATAAATATGAAATAATGGTTAATTATAAACGCCATTAAATAATTAATTAAAGACGTTAATTGAGTGACAGTCACTAAGATAAAGAAACATAATGGAATTTGTTGGAAAATAAATGTTAGACAACAGGAGGAGCTGTCGGCCATTTTTATTTTGGAGGAGTAGCTCTCAGAGGAAAACAGGCTAGTGACCCCTAGTGTCCATTAAACTCAGAAGGTCAAAGGTCACCCTTAACTGTTGATTAAAAAATGCACAAAAATGTTGGAGTTTAAGTTTTTATTATAAAAATACTCAGAATGTACAAAATATAAATATTATATAGGACATAAAAATTCAAAAGAGGAAGACGAGCAGGAGGAGGAGGAGCAGCAGGAGGAGCAGCTCTGGACCAGGTTCTCCACCTGAAACCATGGCTGTAGGTCTTCAGTACCAACAAGGACCAGATCCTACAAAGACTTCTGGGACCTTGACTTCACAAAACCAAGGGTTTCCCCTAGAGGTCAGGGCCATGGTCAGGAGGTCAGAGGTCACGTCAGGAACCTTGGACGGACTGCGTGTTCTGTGGAGACAAATGTCAGAACAGATGGTGTGAAGCTCACAGTGACCTTTGACCTTTGGGAGCCTTCTGAACAACAACACAGAGGGTCCAGGTCAGACTGGGACCTCGGCCAGTCTCTGGTCTCGCTGTGTGTTCCTGGACACCGAGACCAGAGACCGGCCGAGGTCCCAGTCTGACACCACAGGTTGAACACGAGAGTCAGGTGACCTTACCATTCCTCAGTCTACCAGCGGTGGCGTCAGTGGCAGCACTGGTAGATGTCGGTGACCAGCCTCAGAACCAGACTTCAGGACCAGCCTCCAGTCCATGATCCTGCTGCCCAGGTCAGAGAAGGAAGCAGAGAATTAGAGCAGGGAGAACAAGGACACACACACACACACACACACTGATGTTGTCAATTAAACATCAAAACGAGACACCCCCGTACCAAGCATGAGTAGGAAATGATCTGGGTGGTTTAATAATGTACCAGACACTGGTGACTGCCGTTGGCGCCCCCTGCTGACAGAACCAGCAGGAGTTGGAAGGACATGATTTGGACACAAGAGCCAAAATAAAAAGGTGTGTTGGCCACTAGCCCCACCACCAGACCAAACCTCATGGAGAAAATCAGAGGTTTTAGTTCAGACCAAAGTCCATGGAGAAAATCAGAGATTTTAGTTCAGACCAAAGTCCATGGAGAAAATCAGAGATTTTAGTTCAGACCACAGAGACTGACGTCTCTGTGGTCTGAATCTCGGTGAACTTCTCTATGAGCTTTGGTTAATCGCATGTTGGTTTGTGGTTAAGGTTAAGGTTGGTTTGTTTTCCTTCCATTTTCATTAGTAGGGTGTTGTGGCAGCCTCCAACTGCAGGAGGCGCTCACAGCAAATGACAGTTCCTTGTACAGCCACACACAGAGCATGAGAAGAAGCAGGTGAGATGAGAAGGTGAGATGAACAGCCAGGTGGACAGATGAGAAGAGAACATGCAGAGTTAGTGTCCAGGGCTTCAGTGGCATCTAGATCTTTCTGGGACACGGTTCAGATCTTTACTCTGAACTGGATCAAATTGGGTTTTGGGTTTTTTCTCCATAGTCTCCAGCCTCAGAAACAGTGAGGGGTCAAAGGTCAGAGCTGCACCACAGTGAGATTCAAAACCATATTGTTAAACAGGAAGTGGTCAGAATGGTCACTGCACATACACAGGACGTTTGGCAGTGGACGGCATGCAGAAGGTGGCGCTGTAGCGATTATGACGCCCACATTGGCAAACCTTTGATCCTTCCAACCAAGGAGCGATTTACAAATTTTGAAGGCAATTTGAAGAAAGAGAATTTGGCCAAACATGAATTTTCAAACACAATTTGACTGTTTTTTGTACACGTGTGTATACGTTTATTAGAGCAGACAAACAGCAAAGGATACAAGCCAAAATGTCAAGCCAAAAAGGAAAAGAAATTGGACGACGGTGATTTTTTTTTGTTTGTTTTCTCTTTCTTCTTTTCAATAACAACAGGTTTTCCTGGGTGACAATACAAATGGAGGGTTTTTTTAAAGACATAATTAATTAGGAGACACTTGATTTGTTGCGTCAGCTACTCAGAACAGAACTCCTAAAAACAGACAAAGCTGAAGCCAAATAGACAAGAGCTCAAAACCACAGAATTCATCTAAAAATTGATTTTTCTTTTTCAAACTTTGGTCATGGAAAAGTTTTAAAACGGCCATTTTAAAAAAGGAAATTAAGAACAAATAAAAGGAAGCAGTCGGCCCCGCTCCACCACCTGTTCTTAAAATATGTACAAAAACATCAATTTGAGAAAAGGGTGTGGGGGGAGAAGGGGGGAGGGCGGGACCTGCAGGCAACCACGTGGGCCTGGGGGCCAATCAGATGGAGTCTCTAAATAAAAAGACAGCAACAAAAGAGTCAAAGAAAAAAAAAAGAAGTGTTTGGTTTGGAGCCTACCGACTCTACTTCCACTGTTGGCCAAAAGAATCCTGATAAAACTCCTGCTGCTCACATTTGTAACCAGAATAGTTACCAGAGTGGTCACCACCTTGGAGCGGCTGCTGAGCAATAGGTTGCGAGCCCCAGTTCTGATTATTGGTCTGGCGACGCTTGGAATCTGGTTGGTTGTAACCGTCAGCTTTGCGTTTTCCTCCTACATTTCCACCGCGGCCGCCCCTCACACCACGTACCCCTCCACGCCCTCTGGGCTGCACTCCGATGCCTCCGACTCCTCCTCTAGCACCGCGTCCGCCCCGGCCAGGTCCTGGACTCCCTCGCTGGGGGAAGGTCGGTCTGCCCCGAGGTACGCCGCCACCAGCGCCGCTTCCCCCGCGGCCCCTGGCCGGAGAAGCTCCGCCGCGCGGGCCCCGGCTGCCGCCGCCACCTCCTCCGCCGCGGCTGCGAGGCTGGAAGTCATCGTAACCGCCATAGTAGGGGTCCTCGTAGCCCCCGCGGTAGCTGTGGTAGTCGTAGCCATAATAGTCGTAGTAATCCTCGTACCCGTAGTAGTCCGGAGGGTAGGAGTATCCTCCGCGGTTGCCTCCACGGCCACGCCCCCTCACAGGGGGAGGCATGTGCTGAGCATGAGGGTAGTAGTAGTAGTCATCATACCTGGCACGGGGAACAGGAAGTGATGTCACTGCTGCTTCCTGATTGGACAAATGACTACAGGACACTGATGGCCCCCCCCCCCCCCCCAGGCCCTCCAGTCACAAAAACTGGACTAGAACTCCTCATTCATCTGCTGACCTTCTAGAACTTTCTCCCTGAACCAGAACCTCTTACATTTGAGTTTTGGCCGCTTGTCTCTGGGCCTTTCGCTCCTTCCTCTTCTGGTCTGGAGGTTTGGCAAAAACGATCTCGATGGGTTCTCCCTCCATCTCCCTCCCGTTCATGTCCTCCAGAGCCTGGAGGAGCAGGAAACACACGAGTGTGAGTGTGAGTGAGTGTGAGTGAGTGAGTGTGTGTGTGTGTGTTCTGCTCCAGGACCTTGACTGCTGCGTCCCTCTCCTCAAAGTGGATGAAGGCGTAGTCCTTCAGCTTCTTCACTCGCTCCAGTTTTCCAAACTCACTGAAGGATTTCTCCAGAAGTTCTTCTGTGACGCCATTGGCCAGATTCCTGACAAATAAAACTTTGACCTGATGAACAGAGTGTCAGAGGTCAAAGGTCAGACAGACACTGTAGTACAACAAACAGTACCATGTCTACAAGTTTGTTTACCTTGGACATGACCTCAGGGTCGGGGTCCTCGATGGGGTCGGCCCACTCCACCGTCACCACGTTGCCCCACACCTTGACCTTCCCGCTCATCAGCCGCCGCCGGGCCTGAGCCGCCGTTTTATGGTCCTCGTACTCCAAGAAGCAGAAGCCGCGGTTCTTCTTCTTGTCGTCGGGTTGATGGTAGAGTATGACGTCGCCGAGGCCCTCTGTTGGTCCGACAAGGTAGTGTCAGAGCGAGGACAAGGGAAATTGTTGGGCTGTGGCAGGAGGAGGAGGAGGAAAAGGAATGAAAGGAGGAGACGCTCTCACCTGTGACCTTTGAGAACTCCTCAACAATCTGCTCCTTTGTTTTACTCTTTGGAATTGAACCGACAAACAGACGGTTGTTGGCCACAGATATACACACACCAATCTGTTTGCCAGGACGGATCTCGTGATTGTTGCACTGAAACGAAGAAGGGAACATCAGTCAGGACTAGACCAGAACCAGAACCTGCACCAGAGTCCAGAGTCCAGCTCTGACCCACCAGCTTCACGGCCTCCTGAGTGGCTTCTTTAGTACAGAAGGTGACGAAGGCGTAGCCTCGGTTCAA